TTTAAAAAAAAATATATATTTACAAACAGTAGATACAACTAAAATAATAATGTAACAACCCTACGCTTCGAACAAAGTATAGGCATTTACACGCCGATGAAGCGGGAGTTGCCGTACTTGCTCTTATTATACTATAGTTATAGGCCTCATAAGAATTATGGTTGTCTTTGCACTTAAGAATTGACAATTGACATTTTTTATTAGTTTTGTGGTCTAGGGGTTGAGTAATAGTGATATAAAGTACGCTCGGTTCATATGAATTAGTTGTAGAATTATAACAAGAAAAAGTTGAAGAAAAGAAGAAAGGAAAGACAGATAAAGTAAAGGCCCAAAGGGAATGTATCCGTATTATTGCTGCTATAGGCAGTTAGGTTTACATGATACGAGGACAAGGTCTTTCTCCGAGATTCTCTCCGAAAATTTTGAGGGGAGTGGCGAATGGACGAAACAAAGGAAGAATGACCTAAGAATTACAGAACGATTAAAAATTTCAAAAGTAAGTTTCCAGGAACCGGACAAAAGTATGATAAAAATGTGGGATGACGATGAAAGAGGTCGCACGGTCAGTTGTACTGCGATTTGAACTAAGTAGGGCAACATTCATAGGTAAGGTAGTTGATTGGATGAATATTAATTTAATTATGCCACAATGCAAGTACATACTCGTAATATGAGTATTTGGTAATAATGTTGACGGTAGTCAAATTTAATAGTAGCCGCGTTTATAGGCCACTGGGCAAGCCGCATCGGCTTAACCGCGATGAAATTAACGGCCTGTATCCTGTAATAAATATCCACCCTCCTTTTAACTCAACTATCTTTTGTGATAAACGTGTTTCCATGATTCTTAAATAGAATTATTAAGCAAAAAGATAATAACAATCTCTTTACGCATCTATCAGGTAGATAAGTATTTGTTTATATCAAGGTGATTATAACTATTATTGGCACTGGTTTTACGTTTAAAACGGTTTAGTATTAAAACGTGAAGTTGAAAAAAATAACGTCTTTAAAGTCATTCCGTTTTTATTTTTAATTCGTATTTAACGTGGTTTTGTTTATGATTTTAACACTACAGATATAAAGGTGATGCAATTTTTTGTGCACACCGTGTTTAAGGTTCAATTCCATGTTTCAGTAATGAAATTCGATTTGTTTCTGCCTTTTTCATTTCTTTTTCTTATTTTCACAGTACTAATATTAATGTTATAGTACTCGTAATAATAATAAGGTGTATGTACCGTGTGATATTCAATAAAGCGAGTTTGAACCGTAACTGACAAATATAGAATATTGAATTCAAAGCATTTTATTTTTCTTGTTTCAAAAGTGGAGTAACATACTGATGAGTGTGTGCGCTATTATACAGTGATTTATTATTGCCACTAATAATGAACAAAGTTTTAAACGGATAAGTGAGACTCTCTTTTGGCATTTAGTTTGTCTCAGCAAAGATTTCATGAAGAATACAGAGAGTTCATGACATTTAACTTGAATTATTTTCCCACAACAACGGCCCAATAAAATTAATATGACGCCACCTGCTGATAGATATAAAGCGAGTGTCGTAAACCTATTGTAACGATCTCTCGAGGAGAAATTACCGTCTTTTATTTTATATCGTGCGATCTTTACGGTCGGTACGTTTACAGGAATAGACGCCTCTTCAAAATGTTCATGATATTTGCATTTAAATTACTGAATCTTCCTGACGCTTCAAGCATTGTCTCGAGTAAGTGTGCATGGTGTACAATATATAACTGAGCGTGTAATGTATGTAATAATAAATAAAATATAAAAAAATAATAAAAAAAGATTGTCAATAGTAACTTTTAGGTATAAATAAGTATAGCACAAACTGAATCAACTATACTGCCCTCCATGTCATAAATTACTCTTGCTAATAAAAAATGCGCAAAAACGGACCAATTACGCTGAAAACTGAAACTAAATAAGAAATAAAAATACCGACCGACCTAGAGGGGGTTGTAGGTCTCGTTTAAAAATTTTGATTAACGTAAGTAAATAGGTCATATCACTCTGTTGTACAACGTGTGGAATATAAGATGTTGTTTATGACTGATCGGCGAATGTGTTCCAGCACCTACCTATGTACTTATGTACGTATCCATAATACCTATCATGATACATTATACATCACCTGATACCTGACACGTATATCACATAACACCTGAGTTTTAAGGCATATTTCATTGTCACATTACTGGTAATATAACAGCACAATATGACTTCCATTTACAAAAGTAAAAATAAAATACTTGGAAAATAAATATTTCCAATAAGACGCTGATTCTTAAGAAATTTTTAGTAGCCGAGAATGTACATTTTCACCGTTAATCTCTCGCGGATCTGTTATTACCTCACGGCAAAATTTCCGTCGTGATTAAATGTTTTTCCAAAATTTCGCTCACTGCGATCCCCAAATTGAATATGTATTTGTGCGAAATGAAATAGAATTCTCGTATAATGAAAACGGAAATATATTTTACTCTGTACGTACTCATCTATATCTTTTAGGTTATATGTACTCAAAGCTGCATAAACGACGACTAAACTGATTTCATTTATAATTTATGTTACAGTTCTGTCTTCGGTTGTAACACTAATACCATGTTCATAATATAAATCACCATAACCTTCTGTTTATATGTTTTTTCATAAAACTGCAAAAGCATTTGAATTGCATTACATATTAAGTTTATTGAATCTCACGATGTTTTACTACTAAATAATCAATTATTTTTGTGAAATTACTCCACTAGTTCGTTATAATTATTAATACAAAGATCGAACACAGAGAAAAATTCCTTTGATCCGGCTGGACTCAAACCAGCGACTTCCCCATACCGTGTCTTAGCTACTGTATATGTACACTTATCTACTTTTAGGGTCTATGAAACTATAGCCTTTGGTACAATTTCAACATTCAACAAAAATAAGCTCATTTGATTTTGCATACAGTTTTTTTCGTTTCTTTTTCGGTATTATGCTCATCATTGCTCGACTCAGAAAATTCGTAGATAACTTGAATCTGGTTTGTTACCACTCCATACTTCTACAGGGCTGAAGAAACTTTGAGTGGGTGAGCGGTTGCTAATGTAGGCTGCTGTTGACTCAGCTTCAGCCCGAAGTCTTTCTGTAATTCAGCATTTAATATAATACGCATGATATAATAATTATTGCATTACCTAAGTCCAGACTACAGAGTGACCTATGCTCTTCTGACTGCATTGTAGTCGACTCCTCGTAAAATAGTTATAGACTGCATTAGGTCAATAAACAACGGCGCTATGTAACTACTACCAACAATAGGGCACTGTTATAATTGAAATTGTTTGCTCACTGTTCCGTTTCTATACTATCTATCTATCTTCGAAATTATTACTGAGGTCAAGCAACAACTTATCCCAACAGGTTTCCAATAAACGATGTCCGTCGGATGTTAACGACATCAACGTGTCGTTTAGCTAATAACCAATGTTCCATTTCAATTCGGATAATTGATTGGACGCGTGAGTGAGTTACAAATACGGTAATAACATATAAGGGCCTAACTCTCACTACATTTATGTCAGCTGCGTACGTTGTTTATGTGTGTTAATTTTCAAAAACATAAGTGTGACTCAGATTCTAGTGTAGGTAGTTATCGATCGGGAGTTTATTTGTCGACCGATAAGCCGAGCTTTATGGCAGGAGCGGACACCAGATTAGTTGGATTGAGCTTTGTTTGTTATCATCCTCACGTTACAAAAGTCATCCACATGCGATAAATCTTTTCAATTTCCAATTGTTCCTTACAAAATAATATACAATAATGTACAAAATTTTGCACACAAAGTATTTCAAGGTACAGAGAACATCGTTTGCACAGCGATACGTTTATCAATTAGCTAATTTGTGACCCTCCCCGGGTCGATAAGCACCCGGTGCCCTCGCTGTTTATCTAGCTACACGAATACATTAGCCAAATCGCCTATTTTCTCACTTTTATCGAAAAAACACGCTTTAATATTGGGTTAGTAGCGGGCCTTATTTGCATTATTATCGTTGCAAAATACGGCTCACACATCGACGTCAAATTTATGGGCAATGTTATTTTAAATCACCTTCTATACCTGCTTCCAGCGCAGCCTTTTGTCCACAAATAATATATATATAGACTCTGTATTAATTTGTTAAATAAACTAACCGAAACAAAAGTATAAAGCTTTCTGTTATATGAGTGCATAATGCATATTTGAAATTAATATTAAAAGTACTTTGCTATAAAACTTTTGAATTACATTTTAATTTTATTTTCATATTGTAACTAATGTTGACATACATCCTGTCCATACATTTGTCCTGTTTTGGGATTCAATTTGTGAATTGTACATATAATTTTGCGCTATCTCCATAATGCGGGCTTATGTTTCAAAATGGTAACAACCCCCAACTAAGCTAATACAAAGAAGATACGTCTTATATGAGTATATTTCAGATTGTCTAGAGATACACGATTGTTAGTGATGATAGACGAGGTCTTTGTTTTTTTTAAAGGAAAACGAGTTTACTGTAAATATTAGATAGATATTAAGCCACCAATGTATTCGTTCCATCCACCACATCATTCACATTGTATTAATAATGTGTCAACTACACTCAATTACATGCTCTCAAACTTGGGAATTCTCTGTACAGTAAGTGCCAGAACAACGGAATTCACTACGGGGACTAGCCAGAATGTATATTTTATACTTTGACTGATTTTTATTAAATTACGGTATTTTTCATCTGAAAATATTTTTTTACCTACTCACCAACAACAACTACTGTTTGTATTCACACACAAATTTTCGCAAGATATTGAAAACTTCACTACGAAGTACATAATTTCAAAGTTTGGCGGATGGATTTAACGATCTTCTCTGGAATATAACTTAATTAACGTACAGTTATCTACTAGCTGTTATTTTTAGCTATGAATGATTTTGTTGCAGAGGTGAAAGGACTGACAGCACTGTATCAAGCAGTGGGAATCTCGCCAACAATGCGAATGCAGTGCGACACAAAATTGTCGTGCTAGGAGCAGCAAGAGTTGGGAAATCATCACTTATTAGTCAATTCCTGTACACAACGTTTTCAACCAAATACAAGCGAACAATTGAGGAGATGCACCACGGAGACTTTAACGTGAACGGCGTGAGGCTCACGCTCGATATTCTGGATACATCGGGGGAGCACGAATTCCCAGCAATGCGGGCGCTATCCATGCAATCGGCAGATGCCTTCATTCTCGTATACGACATCACGGATGCGAACAGTTTCTCCGAAGTAAGAGCCCTGAGAGACCAGATACACGAGATTAAGGAAAGTACGGCCGTCCCCATAGTCGTCGTCGGTAACAAGGTGGATTTAGCGGAGACTGGCGCTAGACAGGTAAGTTCCGTAAAATATTTTCAACTTATAAACACGAAGCACTTCGCTGAATTAAACTGAAACCAGAGTTAATACTGTACGAAATAAATAATTGATGAAACAGCACCATTCCAACATTTTATACTAAAAGCAGTTACGTGTGTTGGATATTTGCTGCGATGATTAATGTTTATCTCACGCAAAAGTTGCCTATTGGTTTAACTACATTGTTGTGTTTAAACTTAACTTTTTGAATTAACTCACAGTTTCAAAGTTTAATTACTTGTATAAATTTTAAGACTGTATAAGGTTCACAATCCTGATACTGCTGTTTCTACATACTATAGTTCCCGATTTATTGATTTATGACTTCTTCCAAGCAGTACTTATCCACTTCCAATTTCAGTATAATACGCCTAGTGTATTAAAATAATAAAATAAGATAGATCTTGAGAATAGAAACTTACATTTCAACACAGGTTAACTCCTACAATGAAATATGTTTTATTACGGATATTGTGCCCAATTAGACTGTATAGAACATTAGAATAAAGATACCTCGTAAAGAATGTTCAGAAATAAGGTGGTTGCGTTTAGACAGAGACAAATGTGCCACGGTTACGAGTATAACCCCAAAGCGACAGTGAGCCGATCGAATGGAACCAGAGCTCTCGTCTTGTGACAACTATTGGTGTAACGTCAATCGTCCAATCGATAATAGTAACGACGTGGTAACGACACTCCTATAATATATTACAAATCGAGGAAAAAGAAAAATGCATTTTGTTTATAAGGACATACTGAGTTTTATTATCTATAACAAAAGTTAAAAAGCCGTGATAGGCTAACAGTTTGACCTGCCACCTCTTAAGTAGAGGCCATGGGCTCGCACATCTGAGTTTTGCGGAATTTATGTGCGAAATTAAATTTGAAATTTACCATTAGCTTTTCGGTGAAGTGAAAACATCGTAGCGAAAACTAAAAAAAAGATTCACAACCCTCAGAAATCGTGAATTCCCCAACCTGCATTAGAACAGCATGGTGAACTATGGCCTAAAACCTTCGGCTGAGACGTATAAATGGGCTGATGATGATATTACAAATAGTACACAGTTTGCCCACATTTTTAATAAAAATGCATGTCATATTTTCATACCACATGGTCAGAGTAAAGACAGTTATTACTATTCATAAGGTGGCTTATACTGACCCTACTGTGCAACCCTTCATCACTGAGATCAGGTATTGTTCTATTGTGATCACTGCTCGTTTCATCTCGGAGTCTAGATCAACAGAATTAATAAACAAAAGGATTTTCCTGGGTTTCCTAGTCTTGATCTCATCTGTTTACGGCATGTGCTTGTTTAGGAATGACTGTTATATGCCCATCACTAAAGGGTAGTATTGACTAAAGATGTGAAGAGGACTTTTATCTGCTTTATGTCATAATCTACAGTCCCTGCTCTCCGTTAACTTGCAGTTAGCCAAGAGCTTATTTAAGCTACACTGATCCTTGTAAGTCCTGGTCAGCATTTGGACGCCGATCTTGTCTAGCACCAGAGCTTCTCTATAGAATTTAACACTGTAGGCGTTTACCAGGATTTTCGAGTATTCAAGACCATTGGCTTATAGCTAGATGTCTTAAAAAGCATGTGCACCTTTGTTTCCGATGTATATGTGATCTCCAATGAAGGGTTCCAGGCTGAGAAAGGCCACCTTGCGCGTGACTTGGAACTGAGTATAAGGTCACATTATACCTCTCGTCAGGAGTGTTAAGATACATACGAATTTGCTCAATTTTTTATTGATCGACAGATGTCGGTCTATAAAAAATAAGGTATGGATTGTCTACTTACTCGATTTTGTCTGATGTTGATCGACAACGTAGACCTTAAAACAGTTTGGATGCAGTCACTCAGCGCATGTAGAACCACTTGACTGTCTGAATTAGTATGCACTGAGCAACGTAACCTATATTCAGGTTCACATCCGCACTAGCTATTATGTTGTACATCTCGACCAGAAAGTTGGAGAAGTGTTTTCTTATATTTAGTTTGCAAAGGTCGCACACCTTCTATAGACATCACACGTTGGGTCCCATCTTTGATTCATCCATATAAAGCAAACGTCCTTTTAGGGGAGACTGTTCTGTTTCCAGTATTACTTGATTGGAAATTGTAACTGCCCGAGGAGCACACTTTATACGCCTTAAAACTGTTATATCTATGAACAGTCTTAATATGATATTGTTTTAGAAAAAAGAAATTGTTCTTGTAGACCTATTCCACTCAAGTCAAAATTTTAACACGTTCTTGATACCAAACAACTTAATTAAGTGTAATCTCTCTTAAGATTTACTCTTATAGTCCTTATTTTAAGTTCATCTGTAGAACAATTCATTATTTTTAGCAAAATTGTTCTATACACATCCAGTAAAGCCTATTAATTGTCTAAAAACTAGTGTTCTTAAGTTTATACTAGATATATTTAATTTATAGACATTCTGTAGTGTTTGTACTTATTGACAAACACGTTATAGCGCGTCTTCAGTAGATTTTATTTAAAAAAATACTACAATTAGGTTTTCTACTCTATTGGACGATGTAAGAGTTCATGCAAAATGAATATTCAATGATCTGGTGGAGGTGGTGAACCTTGGATATTAAGTCACATCATTCGATACAATCAGCGTTGCCAATTCCAATTGTTCAAAATCCCCAAAAATCACGGTCAAAATCCCTAAATTTTAGGAGAGCAACGTTCATACTCCCCACAAATTCCCCACATCTCTAGTTTTCATTATTTATTAGAAATATATCGCTTAAAAATATAATAAAGAATTAAGAAACTCAAAATGTAATAATCTATTACGTTTGCTGTGAATGTAAACAGTAAAACTAATTATAAAATTAGATGACCTTAATAATAATAATAATAATAATAAATAAGAGTTTAAAATAAATACAATATAATAATAATAATAATAACAACAACAACAACAACGACAACGACAACGACAACGACAACGGCAACGACAACGACAACGACAACGACAACGACAACGACAACGACAACGACAACAACAGTGTTTTGAAAACACTATTGGATGTTTTGAAAAAAGCTTTAAATTCTTATCGTCATTTTTATTTTTAAAGAATGACTATGAAGTAGCCGAGAACAATTTCTTTTCTTTTTAAAAAGTAAATCTAAGTTGAAATCAGCTTGAAGAAACCTAGAACTTCTTGGATATGGTTTGTTTTGTGAGTTGTTTTGTATATTTAAGCTTTCTATAAATATTTAAAACCGAAAATCGATAGCTGTATTTTTATTAAGTTTATATTTTATACATAAATATTAAAAATCTTGCGAGCACATTACTTTTATGACAGGTTTTACATCACTTTTCACAATGTGTTTAAAGTCGCACGTCAATTCGCGCCTTCTAACCGATTAAACATTGCGCTTCGCATTGCATTTCGCTTTGCGCGAAAATGTCAGAAATATTATATCTAATTTCGCTATGTTACAATTTTGATAGTTTATATTTTGTAAGCCATTAAACTTGAAATCTGTTAGTATTAAGAGAATTGTGTCTTATGTTTGTAACGCTTTAGTATTTTGGTTTTAAAATAGTATTACTAAGAAAACTATCGTAGACTATAAATTATCTAAAAACTGTCTACAAGACTAAATAAGAACTGTCACTACAAATGGTCTTGTAGCATTCTAGAAGGATTACTTGAGATAAAAAGATAAGAATCACTCTTAACACTACCTACATATAGTTCCTCAAAGCACTCTTGTGATCTACTAATAAATTTCTGCCCACTTTTACTTTAAATTATCTAGAAACCTTCTTCGAGATATCTTGAGGGAATTTGAACTTTTAAAATATTCAATCGAATTAAATTCTATTAGATATCTTATAGTATATATTTAGATGTGGGTGTGCTGTTTGAGTGGTAGATAGATGATCTTAAAATATTGCCTTAGAAGCATGATACCAGATATCATTACTAGAACAGGATGTTCTAGAATTGAAGTTTTAAACGATCTCAACATCTGGAGTAATCAATTCATCCATGACTTAGTTGCAAACCGCTAGCTGGATTTGCTACGGCAAAGAAGTCGTAAAAAAAACCAAAACAAAGATGTACAACAAACAAGCATATCGAAAAATGTTTAAGGTCTGTTGGTTCGTTCCGTCGCTTAGTTGGCATAGCGTCATGCACGGTTTGCTAGTAGACGTTGGTTTGAATCCATGTCTTTGTATTCACAATTTCAACAAACTAGTATAGAAATTTCACAAACAATATTTAAATAGCATGGTGTTGAACATCCTGACATTCAATAAACTTAATTACAATTGTTAAAGCGACATCTCTAGTCAGCTGCTGGTAGCTATAAAGGTACCTGGCTGAATGAAGAAATAGATTTCTCACAGATGGCGCTACGGTAAAAAAGTCGTTAAAAAACCAAAACAAAGATCTGCAACTGAAAAATTCGTAAAGTCCGCTGGTTCATTCCGTGCCTTAGTTGGCATAGCGTCTGTCACGGTTTGCTAGGTTTGGTTGGACTCCAGCCGGATCGAAGGATTTTTTTCTGTGTTCGATCTTTGCATTAACATTTTATAAAAGTTAATTCTACTCGATACTGCAAGCAAACCGTAAAAAGATTATTATTATTATAAATATTCATTCGAAGTTTGTTTAAAGTGCGTTCATTTTTTTATAATATTATCTATGCACGCTCAATCTCGTGAGTATCGATTGTTTATTTTATTACCTGCTTTCAGTTAGTAATAACTAACACTGGCACACTGGCCAGATAAGTGCAAACAATTGACTGAATTATTCTACTAGTTTTAAAGAGTTCTATTAAAGATTCTATGTTTGAAATATGTTACTGTATTTACTGTTCCATATTTATTTTTATATAATATTTATTATGTGCGCAACTTCGTAAAGCGTGATTTTCTCTACCTTGACCTTTTGAAATGAGGATTTGTATTTGGAAAGGTT